TTGCATCGCTCCTTTAAATCGACTGCCAATTTCGGTTTCTTAACCTATCGCGCCACGACTTTGTGCAGCATTGCCCACAGATGGTGCATTTTTTCTGTAAAATTTGCAAAGAGCGAACTTACCTGAGGAAAAAGTAAAGAAAGAAAAAGGCTTAGCTCCTATGGAAATGCGGCGAAGCCAAAGGTCTTCAAACAATACGGCGTCGTTTCGCACGGGAGACAAGAGATGGCGCAAGTGGTCGCGATGCAACGATGCCAACTGCGCCAACGTACGAGCATACGGCGCCGAGAGCCGGCGTCTTTAGCAAACGATCTTTTCGACTCCAAAGCGGCGCGAGCCTTCCTGATATCGGTTGCCAATGCATTATTTTATCATCCTTACTGATAAAACATGCTGAATGGACACGTAATTGATTAGAAAAATGGTTTGTCGGGATATTTGGACTGTTTCTTACGGGCACCGAAGTCGTACGCTTTGCAGTTCCTTCTTGTTACCACGCCTGTTTTTGTTTCTGCGACTGTCACCGCCTGCGGAACCCACTCCGCTTTTAAGTCGAAAAGACCGTCTAAAATGCGCTACTGAGCTACGTTACCTCAGAATGAAAGGAACACGTTACAATTAGCTACCAACGAAAGGTAACTGGCGTTACCTTTGCGGTATTTTTTATTTATGAATTGAAACGTTTTACTGTTTTGACATTACAGGTATGCATAAGCTTTATATTTCAGGATAGTGGCAATGTTTACACGGGGTAAATAGAGGCAACGTTTTGAAGGCGACTGGGATGAGTGCAAGAAATCGTTACTTGACGCCTTGAAACACACACACACACGCACAATTTTAATTGAGATTTTTTTTAAGTTTTGGGAGGATGCAACGTGTAACGTAACTACGTTACCCGTTTCTCGAAGTAAGTAATCTAAGTACGTTATCCGTTACGGTTTTAAAAGTGCAACGAGATCGTTACTATGTTAGCGAGAAAAAAAATAATAACGCGTTATCGCCAACACCGGTGGAAGGCATAAAATGCGTGCTGGAGGTCGGGCTTTCGAAGAACATGCCCTGCTGTTCTCGCTCCATTTACCCAAGAGACAACTTACGATTTCCGAAGAGAAGAGTTCTCGTTCCTCCAGGCACCATCAACAAGACCATAGCCAGCTGCCGTGTACGTATCATACGGCCACACCAGGTTCCACGACGATGCATTGCTGGCGAAGAACGTTCCCAGCAATAACCGCGAGTGTAACAACAGTTCAAGACCCTTTCACAAAAACGTCAGGACTCCAACAGGCCGGTGGTAGCAAACGGCGTTATTGTGTGATCACGAGACCCCGAACAAACGGTTTTCTTATGGTTTTGACCATGGCTCATCGGCTTCGCCGCGTTCTTCAGGGCTGCTATGCTGACGTGCGCATATATATCGACGTGAGGACAGCTATGTGTCACGTCCGTGGAGTCCGAGTGAAATCTGTGTAAAGTGTATCCGAACTGTTCGTGTGCACGCTGTATATGTCCCAAGTCATATATTAGATTTTATTTTGATTTGATGTTTCAGACTATACCAAGGGCTCTTCGGACAAGAGGAAATAACAAAAAAAAAAAACAATTAAGAATGACGTTTTCTTTTAAAAATTGATGTTAAAACTTGTACTTTTAGACTTTCTTTTTCTTGTATTCAACGGCGTTTTTCGCCAAAATAACTTCATAAAATACAAGTGCATCCTGGATGCGACTATAGATCATTAAAAGAATATCGCATAAAATGTAGAGCGATAGTGTAAACTTGTTATGAAGTCAGTAAGCAGTGGTGGTGGTGGTTTTGGGGGGGGGGGGGGGGGGGGTGCAGAGGAAGATATATTTTGTATAAATTTCTCTCCTAAATTTATCGTGGAAATTGACTTGGTGCGTGAGTCATGTGACGTCAATTTCCCCGCCAAATTGAGCGGGGAGGCTGAATCGGTGTTTAAGCTGCGTGTCGGTAGGTCATGTGACGTAAAGTTCCCGCTAAATTTAGGGGGAAACCGAATTGGTCTATATAAGCGACGTGACGTCAGGTAAATTTGACGTAAAACACACGGACGGACGGACGAACAATTTAGGGATGGGTTCTGTGACAAAAAGTTTATCACGCTTTATTAATCGCCTTCCGCGCCCTGATATCACTGTCCACTGGGCTATTCGTGGCGAAACGTTTGGGTAGCGCCGCCTAGTGGAATTTTTTCGCAACTCAGAGTGAGGATACTTAAACTACTTCTGCTGGTGCAAGCACGTGCAATGTGAAGGTTCTATGCACTGTGAAAATGAAAACGTAACCGCGTGGGTAGCACGTGCACCGCCCACAGTGAGGAAAACAGAAGCGCCCGTAGCGAGTTTCTCACCGTGAAAACATACCGGTTTTCTGAAATAGCAGCCAGGCTCTTTAAATCGACCGCAAAAATCGGTTTCTTAAGCTATCGTGCTACGATTTTGTGCAGCGTTGCCCACACGTGGTGCATTTTTTTTAAAACAAAATTTGCAAAGAGCGAACTTACCTGAGGAAGGAGTAAGAAAAAAAAAGTCTTAACTCCAATGAAAACGCAGTGAAGCCATCGGTCTTCAGACAATAGGGCACCCTATTGTTTAAGGTTATGATGATAATGGTAGTTAACGCAGGTGGCCCGAAACGGGTTTTTCTTTTCTTCGTTTTTGAACCAGCTAAGCTCATTCGTTGATATCTTCACTCCATGCTTCCACCACCTTGCCGCAACTTTGTAGCGAATCTCCGCGCGATACGTTGAAAACAGATTTTGGCGAACCGGTCTAAAGTGGGTTCGAGGCGTTAAGTGTACACACTGTGTATGTCCAAGTCATATTTTACTTATTATTTTTATTTAATGTTTTAGACAAAAAACCGATAACTCTTCATACAAAAAAAAATTTAAAAAGTTGGCTTTAAACAAAAAACAAATATTGTTGTTGAAATTTGTATTTTTAAAGTTTCTTTTTGTATTCAACGGCGTATTCCGCCAAGATGTCTTTATTTGGATATAACGATATGGTACTTGTTGATTAGGCTTTAGTTTAAGCTTTCATTTGATGTATAATTTATGTCATCAAATTGAATTTTATGGGAGTTATCTAAACCTTGGAAATTATTTATCGTCAAAGAGGCCAGGCTATGGATCTTTTGCAAAAACGGAAAACAACTAAGTTATTTTTTAATAAACATTTTGCGCTTTCAATGTAGTTTAAAAAGCCACGTGAGAAGGATCTTTGTTGTGCGGAAGGTATCCGAGGCTGGCGAAGCCCCCAAACACGTGACCTGTGACGGTCGACCTAACCTCAAAATTCGCCTTCTGTCATTTAGAAGTAACAAATTCGAAAACTAAAAATACGACTCAAAAATGTTTTAGTTTAGTCCCAGTGAAAAAATTGCCATATATATATATATAATCTTTTCGCGACGTTATCTGTTTTTTCTGCACTATTTAAAACAAAATCTCCCATTATAATATTTTCGAACATGAACATTTTACATTTAGCATGAATTAGGCATCAATATTCTAATAAATCACGACTGAAAAACATTTTAAAAGGCAACACCCATGAAAAACAAGTTTATTACATGAGATGCATTCCATATATTTATTTGTATTAAAAAAGCAGAGACCCGGAAACAAAAGAAATTTAAATATAGCTCGATACTTCTTTTTTTTTCGGGCACTGTCTTTTGAAATTAGAGGTCGAACTGAAAAATTCAAAGAAAGTTGTGTTCGATAGTGAGCGAAATTTCCAATACACTCGAGCCAACTGAGATGCTCTGACACGTCAGCCGTTTCCCTAAACACACCGGTGCAAGGCAGTGAAGCTTGACGCGCGCGCGCCGGTGCAAAGCGGTGAAACTTGACGCTAGACGCTGGCCGAAACAGTGAGTTGTGACGCGAGAAGTCAGAAAATTCTGGAGACTTCATTCCCGTTTTTCGAATATTCGACTGTTTCAAATACTCTCGAGTATTCGAAATCGGATGCGTTGTTCGTTGTCGTCGGACGCGTTGTTCGTTGGTCTCGAGGATGTTTCGAACAGCAGTAAGTGTATGCTGCGAATCGAATCGTAGAGCAGACCCATTTCGCGAATGATTCGAGGTTTAGAATATTCGCACAACTCTCCAAATAAGCAAAAGCTTCTGAGCGTGCTCTGAGTAACGCAGTGCCATAACCCACTGCTCAATACATTGGCTGATAATTTTTGATCGCGAATACACACGACTTGTGTAAATGTATTATCAGTTATTTCTAAATAGTATACAATAAGCGTAATAATGATAAGCCTCAAAATGGCGGTCGCTGTAATTTCGAAACCCTTCAGGACATTCCCTTACATTCTCCATCTGATATCAGATGGAGAATGTCCTGAAGGGCTTTGAAATGGCTGTGACCGTCGGTCTGATGCTTATGGCATTATATACTTAACGGTTGGCTGCTGCCTGTCACTTTTTGACTTTTCAAGTTATGAAGCCGTTAGGTGTAAAGGTCAGTAACTTGAACTGAGCAATAACAACGGCGCGATGTTGAAGATAAAACAATTTAAAGAGTATACTGTCAAAATTATTTTATCCTCGAAATTTGAAACTTTTATGCAGTAGCCGTGCAACACTTCATATATCGAACGCCTTCGAATGTGCCGAATATACTTTTTTCTTCTGCTTAAAAGTGGTCGCCAACTATTAGCTGTTACACCAGTTATCATCGAGTCCACCATTTTGTTTGGGCACGAACTCTGAGCATGTATTGGTGACGAGTGCTTGGTCAGAGTACGGCGAGGACTCGGATCCAATCACACGTTTCGTGTCTCGACGGATGGATGGACGCTAACGGCTGCACAATTTATATCGGGCGGTAGTTTGCGCCACCTAGCCTAGAAGTTAAGAAGCAAAAGTATGTTTTCTTTCCTTCGCCAACTTGCTTACCCTTTGCAATTTCGTCACTATCACCAGGCGGTGTGGGATATCACCAGGATGACCTTCAAAAAATCAGGCAAAAAACGAAATAAAAAAATTAAATTTTTATTTAAAATGGTGAGGAACGCCAATGGTGCATCATGGACTTTTGAATTATTGTTTGAAGATTTGCGAACCGGTCGATCCCCAGGCTGAGAAAACGTTCGCAACGTTCCTAACTTGAATATGCGACCTATATGGAAAGCTAACCGTTTCTTCGACGAAGACCTCACACCCATATAGTAATTTTAAGGGAGTATGGTTAGGTAGAAGGGGTCGAAAATGTCCCGGATGACGGCCGACTCTTTTAATGTCGTTAAAGTTTTCTTATCTCATCCATTTGACGTCATCGGTAGGCTTACACAACGACAACGGTATCGTTCGGCCAACCGGCTCCTGTTCAGTCGAATTGGGGCAAAACGAAACAGTTGCTGCTTTCTTGGATCTGCAGCGAAAAGAGGGTGGGTGGGGAAGGGGTCGAATGAGATAAGAATTTAACTTCATAATCAACATTCCACTTTAATAACATAAGTTGTGCAAGAGTCAAAATAAATATGCATGAGAAAAGAAAAATGCCTCGGTCATTTTGATAAACCTGGGGTGCACAGAATCGTGTACTGCATGCATTACGCGTTTTTCATGGTTTGTTATGCTTGGTTACCGAATGCTTCGGGTGATTTCGGATGCGTTGCAAGCGCTACACACTTTTATCCTCCCCGGGTTTGTCCAAACGATCGAGACAGGTTTACAATCATTCAGGACCCGTGACGTTGTCAGATCACATAGGGAGCTACGCTTCGTCTGTCGGAACGCGCACGACTACAGTCACCAACTACAAGAGGCTTATTTGAATCATACTCCAGCTGCTTGCTCTACAGTTCGTCTCCCGCTAATGTCGCAGCCAAGCAAAGGTGTCGTGTTGAGGATCGCACGGTCCGGGGAATCGACGCCTGATGTGGCACTTGGTAAACATCGCGAATGATAATTTAGCATAATTAATTATGACTTAATAAGCTCCGACATGTTTTGTAAGCGTTTGCATCGCCTGCAATAGATTGTTTGCTTTACGTTGTCCCGGCCACGCGTGTAACGAATTTTTGTTACACTTGAGCGTAATGCATTTCGCAGGGAATCACTTAGGGAGTTTTAGAATAAAGTCGCAAAAGCTTTGCGCACGGAAAGAAATTGCCTTGCCTCCATGCGCCCATCGAAAGCGCTGTTTGAGCTCAGCCCGTGCGCATTACGTACGCTCTCCTACAACTCGCTATTCTGTTTGAAAAAGAAAGTCAGGGCCGGCTTTTGGGGTGTGCGACCTGGTCGGTTGCCCTGGGCGCCATTACATGGGGAGCGTGAGGCGGGGAACGCGCCACGGCCGGTGTTAGCCCAGGGCGCTTGATGGTGTATGGCCGGCCTTGTAGGAAGTCATTTCATTTCTAGAAGAGCAGAAATGCCCATCACACCTTTTCCCATTTTTTTTTCATTCTAATTATTTTGTTATCGCCCACGAACGAAGCTCCTCGCTGTCGAAACGTATAGTTTGGTAAGAGCTAGCTGTCCCTAAAGATTTGCGGCAGAGATAAGTACCTCACGTTCTTCAGGACGTTCATCAGGAACACTTCGACTCGGAGCACAGACAGGGTCTGGGAGTGAGAAGAACTGCTCGTAAAGCTCAGAGAGCACGCCACTGGCGACCCGATCTTCTCTCTCGTGGTGGTCAGGTAGGTCATCTGGTCGTCGGACTTGTACTCCTCTTCACTGAAAATATAAATTCTGAAGCTTGTACTTTTTTCTTTTTTTTCGTGTACACTAAATAACGATGGTGTTTGACGGACTTGGCGTTGTCACAGCTGTTACTTGATGATTATACTTCGTTTAACTTTAAGACTTACCGCAACCGATGCAACGATCGAATGGAGCCAGTCAAAAGAAGAGTCAACAGTTCATCGTCACAGCACCGGTATTATTTGTGCCGCAATCTTATTGGCTGGTTGGTGGTAACAAGACCCTCAAGACTCGCCAAGCCCCGCATGTCTTAAGCTTTTGATGACCATATACAGCCTCTGACTGCACTGTCGCTTATGGCGAAACAAAGATATATATAGGATATTGGTCTTCCTAAGGTGCCAGAATGCGTGAAACATTTTAATATATTTGATACTTTCTTAACGTGAAGTAGGAACGTATACGTACCTCAGACTAAGGTTGAGAGTCGCGTGCCCTTCCTCGCCCTTAACGTCCAGGAAAATGCGTCCATTCATCGTCCTTGCCAGAGTTGCCAGGATGACTCTGATGTTGTAATGGTACACTGTCAGAAAGAAACGGTCACGCACGTCTTCCGAACCAGTATACATTCTTTTATAACAGCACCAAGAACTTATCCCGTGTCTATAGACCGTCCATTAGGGTCATAGCAGAGAAGGTAAAAAGAGAACAAAATGCCCTCCCCTTCTCTCACCCGCATCTCGTCTGCTCCGCCGAGTGGGCTGTACCTAGCATCCGGCTGGCGTACAAACTCTGTTTAAAATCGCGTCATTTTGGAAACTTCAACGCAGATGCGCAGATTTTGGTACGCCAGTTATCGTGAAATACTATGCTTGATAAAAAGACTAACAGGGTCCAACTGCGCTGTTACCTGCGTGCAAATAAAAAAAAAAATAAATAGGGAAGACTGTGTTAGATTGGCCGGTCTCTTTGGCGAAAAGTAAATCCGGTTGCTGTACCTTTTTTACTATACAAAGTTCGTACTGGTGTAGGCCTTTAGCGACCATGAGTGGAAGTCTGAAAGAATAAATAAAAACGTGCTCGCCTGCCGCAATACACGCAGTAGTTGAGGGTAGTACTGCCGGCTGACTCAATTACTGCTATTTAAACTCAAAGTCAAATTGGACATTTTAGCGATTTATACAGCGTAAAGTTGGTCTGCCAGTAGGGGCGACACTGGTTTACACTGTAGATGAGCAATTTTGCCAGTGCAGTACAACCGCTAGCCTGGGGTCTTTAACGTGCACCACGCAGTAGTGATACACGACCGCACGCCGGTACGATGCTCATCCAGATCGAAACGGGCAGGGGTGGGTCTCGAACCCAGGATCCCTGGGTTCTGCAGCGCGAGCTTTCGCTCCACGCGCGTCGAGCTGGGTGTGCGCTTCAGCCCACTCGGCCACCGATCCCCCTTACTGCTACTTAAAGGAGCGATCAACAATTTTTGTACTTTACGCAAATACCGCTTAAAACGGATCCCTAATTGTTAATGACGTATGAAACACGCGTTCGTTTTTCACCCCACGCAATAGAAGTCCCAGAAAAAAATTTAAGAAAAACGAGCAGCGTTCACCCCCTCAACTCGCAGCCAGAACAAGCGGCCACGTGATCTGGAGCCGATTATATGCCGCCAGTGTTGATCATAGCCACGCGCTGGGGTTGGCAAAGCGCAGGACACGCGCTGAGTTCCAGACATTGTTATAGCTCGGCTGTTGTCGTCGTTGCAGCGATTGGACACAGGCCACTACCTGAATGCATCTCGAGCTAGCAATTATCACGAGCCCAAGTCGAATGCCCACGCAATGCTCGGGTCCAATCTATGAACCGCATTCAAATATCGTCACTTGGGTGTACTGCGATCCCCACGTTACGTCATCAAATTTTGCAAAGGAGAGATTTAATGAAAATGATCGCTTTTGTCCTTGAAATTACACCGCAACAAAGGAGTTTCTTGGCCAGTGGCGTTGCGTGTGAGTATCCTTGAGTCCCAGGTGTGCCAGTAAGCTCGTGTCAAGTGAAAAACATTTCAATTGAATATCGTTGCACCGCTCCTTTAAGTAACGGAAAAAAGATATGCTAGTTGATCATTTACCGAAATAGAACAACAGAGAGCTCTAGGCTGATTTTGAGTAGCCATGACTATTCTAAGAACGCGAACCACTTCACAACGGCAGCCACGAGCGAGAGTTCGATGTTCCGTACAGCCCGCCGGTACAGCCCAAAGATGGAGGATGGCAACCTCCCGGTTTGTCGCCTGCTAGCGGAGTCGGGCGCGTGCCCTCTCTCTCGTTTTACTCCGCCAAACCCGCTGAATTTCCCGGATGTATGGAGAGGGCGCTGATGTCGAACAAAATGGTGCCGCCCAGAGAGCGCTAAATGGAACCAACTGAACTCTCCGACGTCACGCCACCGTGGTGGCGCTGCTGTCGGCACTGCGCATGCGCAGAAGCATCCCTTCTTCGAAAATCGGTTGGTGCGCGCACGGAGTGCCCCCCCCCCCCTTTTTTTTTTTTTGGTGTGGGCAACTTGTTTGTAAATAGTGTTTATTTATGTTTTTTTTTCCCCGGTGCTCCCAAACAGCCCGTGGGCCTATGGAAGGGTGCACCGACTGTCAGATATATATTGCATTGATGCAGAATGTTTGTTTAAAAAAAAAAGAATGATCGGACAGAACGTTGTCGAAAAAAAAACAACACATTAATGACAGCGTTCGCGAAGTATTTAAAACAAAAATATGCACTTGGAATACATTTTAGCGCTCAAAAATATGCAGAGTAAAAGGAACATGCAAACACCGTAGTCTATAAAACAGTACTCGCAGTTACATACGCGGTCTGGTATAAACTATTGAGACACCAAAGTTGAAAGAAGGTTCACACAGCGTCTTTCTAAACACGGGTACTAACTAAAAGAAGAAGAAGAAAAAAAGAAAACGAAGAAAAACAATCATTCAAAAAGCATTAGCAGAAATGGAATGGTAAAATTTTCCCGCAAGAATATATCTACCTCAGAGTTGTTCATCACAGACGCATACTGAATGCGTTCCAAGGGTGTTACGCTTTTTGACTCTGAGCATCCGAATAAACGATAAAAGCGTCGTTTTGGACAAATAATGAAATCGCAGAGAGATTTGTGCAAAAAGGAAACAAAATGCCGTGCCTGCCTTCTTTCGGAGAGCTAATGCTAGTTTAAAAGTTTCAACAATTGCTCATGACTGAAATGAATCAGTTTATTAAAATAACGATCGTAAAGCGAGTCGAACAAACTTGTGTATTTTCAATTTACTTTTTCGATTGTCTTATTCAACGAACTTCATTCCATGCTACAAAAAATATACTTTAGGCAAAACGAGCGATCGATGCATGTGTAAAACGCAAGAATATAACTCTTAAACTGGCGAGTCATTCTGGCCATCGCGCCTCGGTGTGCGGTAACACGAATCACTGAAATACGTCACAAACTCGGAATATTTCAATTCGCTATCTAAGCAAACGTCCACATCTCTTACAACTGAAAGCGCTCAATCTAGCATTTCTTCAAAGCGTGCTAAAAAGTATGGTTTGGAATGTTTTCCTTGGAAAAGATATTTATCTGGTTTTAGCCGGGTTGAGAACCAAGCTGTTATTTTCGCACCATTATGCCAGTGCTTTAATATCTTGCTGCAGTTTGTCGCAGCCAGATAAGTCTGCAACAGTTCGTAAAAGCTGAACGTAATCGGCAAATTGTAAAAAAAAGAAAAAGAAAAGATTGACAGCGATTTTTGCTTTTAATGTTCTCTAATCCATGAAATGCTGCGTTTCCCCGCTAACTTTAGCGGGGAAACGTCCCATAATGAAACGCGCGGTCACGCCGACGCCGACGGCGAGGCCGCTCAACCCGGAAACTGGCGCCTAAGAGCTGCACTCTAAAATAAGCAGGCAAAGCGTATCCTGCTTGAAACACCTGATTGGACGCTTCTCAACGCGCTCTGCAGCTTTCCAATTTACACCTCGGCTCTTAAACGAATAATTTGAATAAACTAAATAATTAGGCGCACTGCAAAAAATTGTGCACTTTCCCAAGACGGCTTCTAACAACATACAGTTAGTTTCACACTCGCAGAGCGCCCCGTTTCTTTTTCTTTTTGTAAAGTTTGATGCAAGTTATTTGGGACACTCTGTATAAGTGTGAGCATGCGCAGCAATTTACCTGATCAGTTTCAACGAGCACAATATCCAAGGGGAAAAGATGTTATTTCTTTACATGGTGTTTTAGTTTAAACCTTTACACATTCGTTAAGAAAAAAGTGGGAATGCTTCACCGGTATGTGCAGGGGAGTTCTTCTTTTTCTTTTCTTGTCCGTCTTGGTTCGTTTCTGTCACCTGTCCTTTGTTTTTAGCGCTTTTATCCTCAGAAATATGAATCACCAACTAGCCCAAGTGCATACCCTTCAGCAAGGGAGTTGTATATACGGCCAAAGGGACATAAAATAGGGGTCTGATCGTCCCGATGAATCTGTTAATTACCTAAAATATGTGAATTCATTTTTTAATTAATAAAAATAAACACAGGGTTTCAATTACAAACTGGCGGGGATGTAATCGAAACCACTAATAAAAGAATCCATTTAGGAAAGATATGGGGCACGTAGGAGGCACGGTGGAGCGGCAAAAATTACCCCTCGTGCAGCAGGATTGAGGCTACCGGTGTGATAACCGCGTCCGCGCGGTTTTCCCGTCTCTGTTCATCCGTGTATTCTCATGCACTGCCAGCCTTGTGCTCGTTGCACGAGTAGTAATTTTAGCGCACTACTGCTCTTCCCACGCGCTCAAGGTCGTTCTAAAAATGATTGATTTCGTGGTTTTCGGTGGCGGTCAGCAAGTTTCTCTTTAGAATCATACGTTTATTTTTTGTCATTAAAATGTTAATTAAAATATCTAAGTTATGTAATCGACGTATCGTGACAATTATCCCCCTACATTATCCCCCCCCCCCCCCCCCCCCCCCTTCCCGAACCGTATAATACCCCTGTCAGGCGGGCACCTAAAAGGACCTTTAGTGTAGTAAATGTCATTTAGGCAGTGCCACACGGCAACTCAAACGGCATTTAGCGTAAAGGTCCTTTTCGGGAACCTGAGTTCCCGCAACTCCTTTACGGCTGCTAAAGACTTACTCTCGTCAGCAGCGGTCTACACTAGAGCAGCGAAATAAAATAAAAGTTCGTACCGATATCTAAAATCAATGCTTTTGCATTTTTATATCAAAAAAGAGCGTGTTTCACGTATATTCTGTACAAACCTCGCTGTACGAATAGTTTTCTGTACTCACGGCCCCAGCTATCTATAGTAGGCCTCGTCGTCGCCTGCTCGCACCGCCCGCTTCGGCACTTCGGTTTTCCTCCTCTCGATTTTAGAGCGCAGCTCTTAGGGGCCCGTTCCCGGCTTGAGCGGCGTCGGCGTCGGCGTAACCAAGGTCATCCCAAGGTCACGTGACCCCCAAGGTCACGTGACCCCTCCAGGTTACGTGACCCCTCCCAAGGTCATCTCAAGGTCACGTGACCCCCTGAAGGTCATGTGGGGTCATCTTGGGATCACGTGACCCCCAAGGTCACGTGACCCCTCCCAAGGTCATCTCAAGGTCACGTGACCCCAAGATGACCCCACGTGACCCTTTGAAGGTCACGTGACCCCCAAGTCACGTGACCCCTCTGAGGTCACGTGGTCTCTTCCCCAAGGTCACGTGACCTCTCCCAAGGTCATCTCAAGGTCACGTGACCCCAAGGTGACCCCCAAGGTCACGTGACCCCCTGAGGTCACGTGGGGGTCACCTTGGGGGTCACGTGATCTTGAGGTGACCCCCATGTGACACCCAAGGTCACGTGACCCCCAGGTCACGCCTTCCCGAGGTCACGTGACCCCCCTCCCCGAAGTCACGTGACCCCGCTTCCCGAGGTCACGTGACCCCCCCGGAGCATATTAAAGAATGAGGGGAGGAGAAGGAGGAGGGGTCTACCCTCCCCTCAGTACCCTTCACTCCTCCACCTCAAGAGCTGCGCTCCAATTCGGCGTTACAGGGAGTTGTAAACGGCTTTCACTTTTTAGAGCGCAGCTCTTAGGGGCCCGTTTCCGGCTTGAGCGGCGTCGGCGTCGCCGTCGCCGTCGCCGTCGGCGTAACCGCGCGGTGCATCATGGAAAATATCCCATAATGCACCGCGCGAGCCCCCCACCGGGGTCACGTGACTTCATGGGGAGGCACGTGCCCCCCCCCCGAGGTCACGTGACTCCCCCGAGGTCACGTGACTCCCCTGAGGTCACGTGACCCGCTCCTCGAGGTCACGTGACTCCCCTGAGGTCACGTGACCCCCCCAAGGTCACGTGACCCCCGCCGATGTCGCGTGACCCCCGATGACGTCATCGACACTGATGACGTCCCCGGCATCCACATCGTCATCGTCATCATCACTGATGACGTCATCATCAGTGATGACGATGACGATGCGGATGCCGGTGACGTCATCAGTGATGATGACGATGTGGATGCTGGTGACGTCATCAGTGATGATGACGATGACGATGTGGATGCCGGTGACGTCATCAGTGATGATGACATAAATGATGATGACGTCATCAGTGACGATGACGATGTGGATGCCGGTGACGTCATCTGTGATGATGACGATTACGATGTGGATGCCGGTGACGTCATCAGTGATGACGTCATCAGTGATGATGACGATGACGATGTGGATGACGGTGATGTCATCAGTGATGATGACGATGACGATGTGGATGCCGGTGACGTCATCAGTGATGATGACGATGACGATGTGGATGCCGGTGACGTTACCGACATCCGCATCGTCATCGTCATCATCACTGATGACGAAATCAGTGACGTCATTGATGTCGTCACCGGCATCCGCATTGTCATCGTCATCATCACTGATGACGTCGTCAGCTACGTCACTGATGACGTCACCGACATTCGCATCGTCATCGTCATCATCACTGGTGAAGTCATCAGTGACGTCACTAATGACGTCATCAGTGACGTCAGTGATGACATCATCGGCATTGGGGGTCACGTGACCCCCCAAGATCACGTGCCCCCCCCCCCCCTGGTTAGTCTAACCCCCCCCCCAGCGCCCTTCCTTCCTCCTCCTCAAGAGCTGCGCTACAATTTGGCGTTACAGGGAGTTGTAAGCGGCTTTTTTAGAGCGCAGCTCTTAGGGGCCCGTTCCCGGCTTGAGCGGCGTCGGCGTCGCCGTCGGCATCGGCGTAACCAAGGTCATCCCAAGGTCACGTGACCCCAAGGTCACGTGACCCCCAAGGTCACGTGACCCCTCCCAAGGTCATCTCAAGGTCACGTGACCCCACGTGACCCCCTGAAGGTCACGTGACCTTGGGGGTCACGTGGGGTCATCTTGGGACCCCTCGAGGTCACGTGACCCCTTCCAAGGTCATCTCAAGGTCACGTGACCAAGACCCCACGTGACCCTTTGAAGGTCACGTGACCCCAAGTCACGTGACCCCTCTGAGGTCACGTGACCCCCGAGGTCACGTGGTCTCCTCCCCAAGGTCACGTGACCCCCGAGTCACGTGACCCCCAAGGTACGTGACCCCTTCCAAGGTCATCTCAAGGTCACGTGACCCCAAGGTGACCCCCACGTGACCCCCAGGTCACGTGACCCCTCTGAGGTCACGTGACCCCCCGAGGTCACGTGACCCCTCCAGGTCACGTGACCCCCAAGGTCACGTGGGGGTCACGTGACCTTGAGGTGACCCCCAAGTCACGCCTCCCCGAGGTCACGTGACCCCCTCCCCGAAGTCACGTGACACCCCCCCTCCGAGGTCACGTGACCCCCCCGGAGCATATTAAAGTGAGGGGAGGAGGAGGAGAAGGGGGAGGGGTCTACCCTCCCCTCAGTACCCTTCACTCCTCCTCCTCAAGAGCTGCGCTCCAATTCGGCGTTACAGGGATTTGTAAACGGCTTTCACTTTTTTTCTTACAACCATAGTTATCTAGGTTTCATTTCTCTACTTTATATTTTATCATTCTTTAATAGTGTATTACCACCTGTACTGTATATATTTCTGTATCTCACTCTCGCGTCGTGCGATACGTCGAACGACGCAGGAGGGAGCGTCCACGAGTAGGAAGGGGTCGTCGCTCCTCCATTGGAGCGCTGAAGCGACCTGGGCGCTGATACGACTTTGGGAGGATCGGCTGGAGGACCTCCGACGCGTGCGATGAATCTCAAGCGCGAGCACGACGCTGAACCGAACAGGGCAGAAGCGTAGCAGAAGCACGGTAAGGAGTGGGAGCACTGAGCAACGTTAGGACTACGCCCAGGGTTGCCGCTAATCGCCAAAAAACAACTTTGCTTGGGCTTGAAGTGGACTTCGTTGTAATCACTCGACTGAACTCGTCATTTTGCCTTTGTTAATATATTGTTTGCTCAGGGAAAACTTTAATAGTTTATTTATAACGAGAAAATAATATTTTTCTGGCGTGAACATGATTTATGCGTCTGAACCGAGCTACGAGACGCCAATCGCTGTAAACATCGTGTAAATGACATTCACTTGCGCTGTCTGGCATGGCAGAACGTAAAGGTCATTTGAAAATCCTAAAGACCTTTGGCGCAAAGGTCCGTTTAGGTGCCCGTCTGACAGAGGTATAACCTGCACCGACCGTGTAGCTTTCGTGGGTACTTTTTGAAAACGAGTCTTTAAAGCCTAAAATAAAACACCCTGTGGCTTGTTGACTTGTTATCGTCAGGTTTCCTGCTGCGTGGTTCGTCCTGCGCTGCACACAGGCTACATGCAATCGCGCTGCACGCGAACCATGACGTCCTGTGATGTCATGTTTTCACGTGATACCATGACGTTGAGTCACGTGACATGGTGTCACGCGACACCATGGTGGTGAGCAGGGAAGTTTTCCCGCTAAATTTAGCGGAAAGATTTCCGTCACATCGTACGTGAAATACACTATCTCGACTATCCCTTTTTTCTCTGCACTACTTTACGGGGGAAGGAGAAAGAAGGGGACTCACGGCAGTACGGGGCGGTGTCAGTTGTCTTGAGGTAAAACTTGGCCGGATTTCCACTGGGCACTGTGGCTGTGCCCAGGACGGCGCACTGACTACCGTCCTCCCCACACTCCGAGCAACTGCCCCTGAGGAACTCTTCGAAGCTCGGACAGGCGAAGCCCACCAACCGACACAGGTCGGGGTCGGGATTCGTTTCGAGTTCCAGCGACGCCGTCATGAGCTGGATCGCTCGTTCGTGCTTGCAGGCGACTGTCTCGCGGATACCTGTCAGTACAATGCATGGTCTGATAGCGCTGCAGGTAAGGGCAACTGAAGCCATCTAAAATCAGGCTTGATACAACACAGCCATCTCAGTATCGGGTCTGGTCTGGAATGGTCGGGTCGGGCGGGTCGAGTCGGGTCGGGTTGGGTCGGGTCGGGTCGGGTCGGGTCGGGTCGGATCGGGTCGGGTCGGGTCGGGTCGGGTCGGGTCGGGTCGGGTCGGGTCGGGTCGAGGCAGGTGGGGTCGGGTGGAGTCAGGTAAGGTCGGGTCAGATCGGGTCACGGGGCGAGTAGCAGTTCATACGTTGCAACATCCTATTTGATGTAAATCTACAACGTGTCATATGTATTCATATGTATGCAAAGTCTAAAAAAAGAAATTTTCGGCTCGTCCTTGCAAGGTTCAAATATTAAGATAAATGCAGTGCCTTTCTGATCAAGTGCTCTCGGGTAGGCAGAGAAACCGTTATCAGTGTTTGCGAACTTTGAAGTGAGACACGAGATGATCGAGAATAAAAGTAGATCAAATGCCCATTATGGATTACTGGTTTCTATTTTTGTTTAGTTTGTGATCGATCAAATCAACACAAGTTTATACATTTATTGATGTTTTCTCATAATTACAAAAAAAAGCACCAAGCATCAGGAACAAAATTATCGTCGGAAAGAGAACAATATTGACGATGTATTACGCCAATTACTGCAATCAGTGACGTCACTATACCCGGGGTCAAATATTTGTGGCGATGGATCCAAGGCCGGAGCATGTTACTGCCGCCGCTGGATATATTTCAACCAAAATAATTTCTAAGTGTAACCAATAAAAATAAAAAATAAATATTCTTTTTAGCTTTGATTTCACAATGTTAATATGGTATTAGTCAGGGCGTGCCAAACTTATAGCATTTCTTTTTTTTTGAGCTCTTTTGAGTTTTCTTGGTATAAGTTCGCTGCAGATTCTTTGTATATATCGCGCTGCGTTATGATTTTTTATTACCAAAGTTGAACGTATCATTGATCTCAAGAGTGCAGCGCGGATGAAATTCACGTCATTTCTTTAATCAACGCCACATATATTTTTCGCTCGCTAGACAAATAAATTTCGACGAGGTGAACCACGGTGTAATTTACCGTGTAAGTCAGTCGGAGTTCTCCAGTCAAAGGGGTGGTTTGTGCTTTGAAACGGGTGAAAGGCAAGGAAATACACGCGGATGCCTGCATGCACGGCGATCGCGGTTCAGCATTCTCAACCGCGGTCCTCATACCAAAAGATGAACTGTAGCAAATGCCGTGTCCCTCACGCCAAGACCCCAACTCAAATCGAAACCCAAACAATTTCGGAACTACTTGGCTCAATAAAGCGCGATGCAAACCAACGCTTCTTTTTGCGCCTGTAGGTCGTGCGGCTGCGGATGTGACGTATTTTCGTGACGTCGCGCCACTTCTTCGCTCCTTCCGGGCGCGCACAAGAAAGTTGGTTGATTTCAACTTCTTTCTCAACGCGCACAAAAACGCGCGGTGACGTAGTAGGGCGCTCCTGCGTCCCAACCAATCGGTGGAGGGCAAGCTAGTTCCGGCTCCGCGTTTCTCGCCGTCTGGCTGCCCTCTCCTCCCCCCCTTTTATTCTCTTCCAACATGACAACGCGATCTCTCTCTCTCTCTTTCTCTCGCCGTCTGGCCGGCCAGTCTGACGCAGTTGCACTTTGCTTGTGCGCTCGTGCCTGCGTGCGCGAGCGCACAAGTTTGGACGGGCGAAACTTCGTTCGAAGTTTCGCCCGTCCAAACCAAAGCGCACGGTTCTGACTCAGAAAGCGCGCCCGGAAACAGCAAAAACGTCGGAAAATGTGTCACATCCGCAGCCGCACGACCTACAGGCGCAAAAAGAAGCGCTGGTTTGGATCGGGCTTAACATAGAGCCGCTAGCTCCGCCACCTAGCTTCCTCTTCATTGCCGCAGAAAGTATACCCTGGGTTTTTCTGGTGCCCATAAAAGCAAAGCTGAGTCTAATGTCCAACGCACTTTGACGCATTGGGTATTAAGAAAAACTTTTGGTACGCAGACAAAAGGTAAAGTTTCATAAAAAAACAAAAAAAAAAATGTCCACAAGAAAGCGTACCACAAAAGTGTAACGCCTAATTCCCACGCTAAATGTAGCGGAAATACTTGAATTAGTGTGTAATTAAAGTTTCTCTGCTAACACCAATTCAAAATTTCCCTACACCCATTCACGCTTTCCCGTGTTAGACCCTTGTGTTACACTTTGTTTCGGTCATTTATTTTATACGCTGAGCGTATCCTGTAGTTCAGCATACAGGATACGCTGAGCGTATCCTGTATGCTGAAGCAGGATACGCTGAGCGTATCCTGCTTCAGCACACTCTACACCAACTCAACATTGTGACGTCACACCGCTGCAGCGGCGCTGCTCTCGACACTGCGCATGCGCAGACGGTTTACGCGAATCTGGATTCTGCGCACGCGCAGTGCCCCCCCCCCCCCCCCCCCCCCGGTCTCTTTTTGGTGGATGGATAGATGGATGGATGGTAATAGCCTTTGTAACAGGCGGTAGCTTGCGCCACCTAGCCCAAGTCCCAAAAAAATATGGGCAAACGCGGGCTTGTTGGTAGACGGCGCCCGCCTCCTCCTTTCCTATATGCTCTCCGCTTTTTAGCTTGCCCCAGCTTGGCTCCACTCGCAGCTTAGGAGAGGGGAGCACTAAGAGGATTATCTTCCCTGCAGAAAACCGAAGTTGGTGCGTCGGCCTTTAAGTTAATCAGAATGCGGGGTTATTAGGGTTTCACCTTGCCAGGCGCCGTGCTTGAAGGATATGGTGCGAATGTCCGAATCGCACCCCGGCTGCCGAGCTCCGCCGTTCGGGTAGATGTCCACCTTTCCCACGGGGTCGATCATTCCGAGCCCTAAATTAAATATATTGATAACCCTTTGGCGATCGAATTTACAAAAGAAAAAAAGGAAAACAATTTGTTCTAGTGGTCCCGTCCTGTTTTGAAAGAAATATTATGAAGAAACAGTCAATAGACCATTTTCCTTGCAAGCGCCACCAGGTGGTGCTCCAGTTTTTGACATCCCAGGGAACTTCCGGTTAGCAAAAATAATGAGCAAACCAACCTTAACACCGCTGCTTGAAAGGTCAATGAAACATGTAACCACGAATCATCCAGTTGAACGCCAAAAGAACCAAGACGCGCGAGATCTCTTCCAACAGATCGAAAGCAATGTACGCCGCAAAAAGAAAACAATGTCTCCTTTTCCGTAAAGGATAACCACAATTGCTGCAATCTCAAAGACGTGAACATAAAACTTGATTCATTGGCTGATTGATTGGCTGATTAATTGATGGGTTAACCGATTGGTTGATTGATCGATTAATCATTCCGATTACTCGCCGAGCTGCCTCCTTAGATTGCAGCATATTGGCTCTCTCTCATGTGCTTGGAGGGGAAAATATAGGCGCAGTAGATTTTTTAGAGCGTATGGGTAAAGCATGCACATTTGTTCGCTAAAGTGCGTTAGTACAGACGCGGGCATATGCTTAAAGTTTTTTAAGAAAGTTTTTTTGCAGAAATATGCGGAATTTGCGAGACATGGTATATTATACAATGAATGTCACCATAACATGTCTAGGATATTTAATTACTGGGACGTAGAGGTGTATGGAAGCCCGAAGATTGTAACTGTTTATGCGGAGCGCAAGTTTGTCTGCTTCTTGCAAACGGGTTGCGATGATGTGAAAACGTCGTGCTCCTATTGGTTGATTGAAACACAAAAAAAAAAATAGTTGGTAGTATACTCAAGGCATCTAGCATTGAGTTCTATACCCACTGTCTTTTCAATAAAAGCCAATCAGTGCTCGGCGTCGTTCTGACGTCATCGCAACTCCTGCGGAAAAAGCAGACGACTTGGTCTCCCCATTGATTCGAACCTTCAACCTATGTAAAAACATGCAATCTTGAATGTAAGCTGCACGATTGTAGTTCGACTAGAATGAAATTATATTCACAATAGCAACATTGCAACGAAAAGGTCTGCCGTTGAAAGGACGTTTCGTGAAAATATCGAAGGAAACAGGGCCGGCTTGCCAAAAAGTGCGTCTCAGCTGAGAATGCATGGTAAAAGAAAGCATTGCCAAAGGCAGCGCACGAGCTGAGCGGGTCTCAAACTGCGCCTCAAGGCTCTAGCGCACCCTAGCCTTTGCAGTGCTTTCTTTCACCTAGTCTCAGCTGAGACGCTCTTCTAGCGAGCCGGCTCAAATTTATAACCAGAAGTTATAAATCTAAAGAAAATTATGTGCAATTTAGCAGGGAGTAATCACTGGCGGCCATAACTCTGCGCGCCAGTGCTGTGCACGTGCCGATAGTGAGCTATACCACAGTTCTTTTTCAACGTGCATTTGACACCATCAAGATGGCCGGTTTAACAGCCTAATAATGTGAGCTCGTCCCGAGCATGCGCTCAAAACATCGTGCTCAAATGTGGTGTCCAGCGAATACCCCCTACAAACTTTTGTCAAGTCAAAGTAAAAAATAAAGAATTGAAAATATATAAAATACTTTTGGGCTATTAGGACGATCGATGAAACGAAAACAGAAAAGGTAGAGAAGAAAATCGATCTGACTTTTTTCTTATTCTTCTGACGATGCCAGCTGAACGTAGGAAGCTGCACGAAGAGAAAGAAAGAGAGAGAAAGGGAAAAACACACCTTCTCTCTTTCTCTTCGTGTATACCTTCCTATGCTCAGCTGGCATCTCCAGAAGCATGAATCACCAACTAGCTCTGCTACAAGCAGTCAAGACATTGGTGCTTACTTGCTCGTATATGGCCAATCAAATTTCCACACAAAATACAAAAACATTTTTAAATTTAGTATCGCTAAAGGTTGAACCCTGTTTTGAACAAATAAAAAAAAATTGTTTTCATGTTTTGAACGGATTGGAGCAAGTGATTTCATCGATATTTTCACGAAAATCGAATCCGCCACGCAGCTGATCTCTCTGAAGGGAAATTACAGTGCCGTAGCATGCCAAGCTAAGTTTTGCTATTTATTTAGAGCGGGTTACATTCATCTGACCCACGCGGTAGTCATCCTCGGTTTCGTAATGACGCTAGTTCTCCGAACGTCGTTGGGTATAGAACCCTCGTTCGGCAAACGTCGTTAGTTTAGCAGGACTTGTTTGTTGGGCTATCTGGTCAAACTTGTAAGCGCAAACACAGAGATCGAACACAATGACGAGCGCGTGTCCTTCTCCACTCATTCGTGTTCGTCCTCTGGGTTTGCGCATACAAGTTTACTCAGAACGTCGTTTGGTAGGACCCAATCGTTCGCCAATCGTTGTTGGCTCTAACGTTTGTTGCCAGTCATGAGCAAGGCGTCTGTGACGTCACGCCGTAGCGTGGCGCTGCTGTCGCGTCGGCGCCAGAGCCGTTTATTCTGAGAGAGTTCGGACAATGGGCGGAGCTTGTGGCCCGCCAGAACGAGCGGATTTCGCAATAACACAAAATGGCGTTACTTCTTTGTCTTGTTTATTCCTGAGATATCGCGTAGTGTTCCTACGAGTCAGAACCACAAAACGGCGGAGGGAAGTATTCATTCCCCCGGTCGTCAGACTTCGCTGCTGTGGTTGCCAGGCTGTCAAAATCTCGTTAAGAAGGCCAAACCCCCCCCAGTACAAATGGCTCTGCTCGGCGCATGCGCGAGCAGGCGCTTGACTTCACCTGAATTTGGTTGTTGCTCATACGCAGTGCCCACACTTGGTCAGGGAAAATGCAGGCTTGTTGTCTGAACAGCGTGTTGATGACCAATTGAGTATTTTGGAGTGCCCAATCGTTAAATGCGCTTTTTTTTAATAGCTGCTCAATCTAAACATTTTTTCGGAACACCCAGGCTTCCCTATTGAAAAACCTCATTTGTATGAGAAATTTCTGTGTCCAATAAACGCATATGGATCATAAAATATATATAAGAACATATAAGACCCATATAAGAACATAAGATATAAGAACATATAAGAACCATATAGGACACCTGTGAGAAGTTTCTTATAAGTTTCTTATATGGTTCTTATATATGTTCTTATACTGTATATCTTATAGTTCTTATGTGGTTATCATATGTTCTTATATATCGTGTATGATTCATATGTGTTTATTGGACACAAGAAATTTCTCATAGAAATGGCGTTTTCACTACGGTTTAGTCTATTCGGCACGCTATTTAATATTTTTAAATTTACACAGATATTCAGAAAACGGCAGACGAAAGTGATGCCAAAACCAGCATTAAGCTTTTCCCGCACTTTCAAGTGGGGTGACGTCACATATTGTATAACCTGGGAGCGGAGCCGGCACCATAAGCAAAAGAGTAGTTACAATAATAGTGACTTTTAGCAAACCGTTACCGTGCTCCGCGTAGCGCACTATCGGAGCGTTTGAAGCATGCTTTTAAGCTCGAGCCCGGATGATACCGTGACCGGTGGCTTCAAAGGTTCCGGTAGTGCGGTACGCGGAACACAATAACGAATTGCTAAACTTTTTTTTTTTTTTTTGGCGTAAAATATAGGTCATTACCGTTTGCTTTCGTTTTCTTACGTTATCCGTAAGTCCCCAAAACATTCGTTTCTCGAATGTCGCGTGCTATCTCTTTGAACTGGTGGCCACGTTTAACGTGAAGCAGATATCTCCCGGTGACTTGTGGCATAAGCAGACGTAAGCTTTTGTGACGTAACGTAGCGTAAAAAATACGGGGCTTTGTGAACCAGCATTTAGGGTGGCTCCCTATTACGCCAAACCTGAGGCTGCTGCTGAGATCAAGTGTGCTTAGGAAAATCACGCCATCAACTTGCCTTCGAAGGACATCGCGAAACGAGAGCCATCCGTGTGTACGGCGTCCACGTAGAGGGCGTCTCCTTCGTCGAGACGGACGTGGGTCGGCATTCCTTGGAAGAATGGTTCGGCAGGGTCCAGGCCTGGCGAGCAGTGTGGATGAACTCGAGATAAACACGCAATAACGAATTTTTATTTTCCTACAGAAACCCTCAATAAAAACTGGCGGTAACACAAAAGAAAAGTGTCGTGTGTATGTCGTGTGTATGAAATTTGGAGAGTGACGGTGATCAGCTCCAATGAATGGCCGTCTGGAGTTTATACTGTAGATGAGAATCAACTGTTTGAAACTTAATATAATTCTATAATTCTCCCTCCCCCCATTGGACGCTGAAAAACCGTCTGTAGTATTCCTTAAATAAATCAATAGTAATTAAATCTGGCCTACGCACTACCACTGCTAGCCTGGGGCCTTTGAAGTGCATCGAGCAGTAGTGATACACGACCGCACGCCGGTACGATGCTCATTCAGATCGAAACGGGCAGGGCAGCCCCATCAGATACACCAAGGTATCAAAAATGTCAAAACTATTGAGCCTGTTTGTTTCCGACATACAAAAAGGCCTATAGCTCCATATCTGTCTTACAAATACATTCATTTCTCACTTTTAAAGGAGGCAATTCGTTCCGTTCGGTATCTCCACAAGAACAAGTGTGCCATCTATGTGGCACTTTGCTGTACCCTTAAAGCCGGGGTCACACTGCTTATGCATAACGAAAGAGAGACTGCATACAGATTCGAACGCGAGTCCCCGCGATATCCGTCCTTCAAATGCCGCATGGCAATGAGTTCAAGCAGGAAATTGGCACGCGGCATTTGAACCACGGATATTCCGGCGACTTGTATTTGCAGACTCGCTTTTGTATGATGTATAAGCAGTGTGCCCCCGGCTATTCGCTGAGAGAAGCTTACCAGGGGCACTTCTGTTTTCCTCACTTTTTGTAGCGCATGCACGTGCTATTCACGCGGTTATGTTTTCATTTTCATAGTGCGTAGAAGCTTGGCATTGCACGTGCATGCACCAGCAGGATCGGTCAACGTTGGGATCGGCGGCCGAGTGGGCTAGCGCACACCAGCTCGGAGCGCGTGAAGCGAAAGCTCGCGCTGCAGGACCCAGGGATCCTGTGTTCAATTCTCCTGGGTTCGAGCCCCACCCCTGCCCGTTTCGATCTGTATGAGCATCGTATACCGGCGTGCGGTCGTGTATCACTACTGCGTGATGCACGTTAAAGACCCCAGGCTAGCGGTTGTACCGCACTGGCTGAATTTCTCATCTACAGCTGGGAGACTCGTCGCCCCTGTGAGGCAGAACAAGTTCTAGGCTGTATAAACAGACACACAACCCAATTTTTTGGGTTCAATTCCTATTCCTGCCCGTTTCGGTCTGTGGATGAGCATCGTACCGTCGTGCAGTCGTGTACCACTACTACGGGGTGCTCGTTAAAAACCCCAGACTAGCAGTCGTACTGCACTGACTAAATTGCTTATCTACAGTGGGTAACAATGTCGCCATGTTTTGGCAGACTAACCTCCTGTTGTATAAACAACTAGCGACTAATTTGACTTTTGATTTTAAGCAGAGGAAGTTGAAGTATCTTCACCCTGAGTTGTGAAAAAAAAAAATCAACCAGGCGGCGATAGCCAAACTTGTCGCCGCGAATAGAGCCTGGCGCAGCTGAAAACCCATAGGAGAGGGGGGCACCATGCCTGCAAACACGTGCAGTGTGCGCGTGAAGATAGCTTTGGCAAGCCTGAAGTTGCACGGGCTTTTACGCACGAGCATAGACATGGCAGCGGCTTCTCGCCTTGCTTGCAATCGTCTGTATACACAAAAGTATTTGCAGCTGCATTTCGATCTGTCAATCTACTTCCTGGCACGCGTCGACGCGCACTTAGCTTTTTAAGATCGCCTAAATATGGCGATAACTCACTCTGCTGGTCCTAAGCATCCTAGAAATCCCTAAATCATGATGACACGCGACCGAGTTCCTTATTAAAAAAAGCAATCAAAGATCGCAACACACCGAGGTCATCTTCGGCGAAAAGAGGAGCATGTTCCGAAACTAGGACCACTGTCAGCCAATAGCAAGCGTAGCATACTCGTGCCTCCGACCGGTGGAACCGCGGAGTGATACCTCGAATGCGTGCGGGCTTCGTTGCCCATACAGCCAGAACTACTATGACCAAAAAAAAAAACATGAAAAAAGAAAAGGTCACCAGAAAGTTTGCGGCTTTTCTATTGACAACATGACTACAGAAAGTTACACTGAATATTTTAAATATGAAGTAAACAGAGCATCTGGGCCCGTTTGCTCGAAGCGCTAACCGCGGCTAAAGTGAGCCGCAGTACTTAGGAGAGGGATTTTTTTAAATTACGTGACTGGCTCGGTAGGGATGCGGGGAAACATGGCGGTGCCCCAGTGAGTGAGCGCCGCTCACTTTGGAATTAATATGTCGTTGTGGTTGCAATATCGGGCGCGTTAGTCAGCAACGAATGGAGCAGGAGGCTTTCGCTTGGCTTTACTTCACTTAAACCGCAAAGCATGGGCAATGAAATCGCCGCATTTTTTAGATAGTCTTTCGATTCTGGGCATTCCTAAGCCTAAATGAACGCGATAATTGTCGGCATGGCAACGTCTTTGGAAAGCAGATTGACTTGACTCAATTGGCCGGGTATTAATGCGGAGGGCAAGTTCATCTGCTTGTTGTTGTTGAAGCGATGTTTATTAGGAAATCGACGTTGTTGTTAGTTACTCTCTGGGCGCACTTGTCACTGTCGATGGGAAAGGGAATTAAGGGAAAAAGAGATAGAGAAGGAGAGATGGGGAAGGGGGAAAAGGATTTCTTCAGAGTGTTGACTCGCGACTCCTGGAACTCCCGAAAACCTCTGGATGTAAGATCTCCGAGAGCCCCAGGAGCCGCAAGCAACCCAGATCTCTTGAAAGATAGAGGATCTCGAGGAGTTCCGCGCTCCTCAGGAAGCTTGAGTACCGGTGCCCTTAGAACTGCCTGAGATGAAAACGAGCTATTTCCTAGAATTGTTTTATGTTCCTTACCCGACCTAATCATGTTAAATTGCAACTGTATACTAATGTGTGGAGCTGTATCGAATGAGTGAATCTGATTGACCAGAAAGTGTTTTGTTACTGTGTGTGAGTGTTTTGTGAGTCCGATGCTGCCATCATTTAAAGGGGGCCGAGGGCCCCACAAGCTGCGTTTGTAGCTTTTTTCCTCGGCCTCCTCCATTCTGTATGAAATGGAAAACCAATAAAGAAAGAAAGAAAGGAAGAAAGAGTGCCTTGTCCGTAGTAGCTCGTGAGGCTCTTGGACGCAGGAGTTCTTCCAAGTTGGTACTAGGTAGCCCTAGGCGGGAAAAAGCATCACGGAGGTTGGTCCGCTCCTCTTCGTGATCACTGCAGTGCAGGAGGAGATGTTCGGCGTCGGCCGTTTCCTCGCAGGTCTGGCATATGGGGTCAACACTGAGTCTGAAGCGACTTATCCACGCCGGGCTGAAGGCGCTTCCGGTCCGTAATCCGTGCATTACTGCGGCAGTTTGGCGGTCGAAGCCGCGCGGTACCCGAGCTGGGAAGGCACCCGCCACCACTACGGGGTCCGGGTGCTGTAGGGCGATGGCTCTTCTCACAAGGAGCTTTGCGTCTGAGAAGCGGGGAACGGTTGAAAGCGGGCACTCGGGGTCCTTGTGAGCCCGCACCGCTAGAAAATCAACGACTTCATTGCCTCTAATGCCACAGTGGCTCGGGAGCCATTGGAAGGCAATGTTGTTGCCTTCTTGCTGAAGCTCGACCGCATCCTGCGCGATTGAACGGGCCAGGGGCGTTGCCCGTTCGAGCCTAGATAGCAGCTCGAGGGCTGATCTTGAGTCACTCAGGATGACCCAGCGTAAAGCCTGTGTGCAGCCTGTCCGAATACCCCAGAGGGCGAGCCGTACGGCTGCTAGCTCTGCCGTGGTGGAGGATGCCTGGTGATCCAGGCGCTCACTGGTACCCACAGCTGCTGCCTCGAAGAAAGCCGCTGCTGTTGCTGTGCCTCCGGAGGGGTCCACCGATCCGTCGGTGTACACTCGGGTCGACCCATCGTACTGGGTAACTAAGTGGTCTTCCGTGAGCTGCCTTGCTACGACCACTGCTACGTTCTTCTTGGACCGCAGTCCAGGGATATGTAGGCTGATCCGCAGGGGGTGGGGATCTTTGTGCAGCTCTGGGAGTGGAGCGAGTGGTCCTGGTGTGCCAGCTATGTCACCAAGAGTGCAGAGGTGCGCTTCTAGTCTTGATTCAGCGCGCTCGGCGATCCTCATTAGGAGCGTGATGGTCGAGTAGCAGTTGCTCATTCGAGTCAGATGACCCAGCGCCCGTTCTTGCATGATGTTCTCTACAGAGTTAATCCTGGATTCTGTGAGCGTATGTCGAGACGAGGCTGTGCGGGGAACTCCGAGGCAAATCCTGAGTGCCACGCGTTGCGCTTGTTCAAGGTTTTTGAGCTGGTTGGCACTCAGTGTGGCGAAAGGTAGGGCGTACAATGGGCGGGCCAGTATGAGCCCCCTATACAGTTGCAGCATCATGTGAGATGAGGTTCCCCAAGTAGTTCCGCCGAGCATCCGGAGGATGTTTGTATGGGTTCGCATCTTTTGAAGAACTTCCCTCATTGCTGGGCCCCAGGATAGCCTTGAGTCCAACGTGACGCCAAGATATGTGGCCGTTTTCGCCAGTTTCACTGGAGTGTTCCCAATGCATAGTGTGGGCATGAACTTGCTTGGCCTCTTTGGAGCGTATACAGCGCAATCGTTTTTTCGGCTGATATTGCCAAGCCCAGTTGGTGGAGACGATACACTGCATTTGTCAGGGCTCGCTGGAGAGCGCATACCATACGTTGCCTTCTGTAGCTGGGGGCAGTGGACCAGAGTGCCACGTCTGCATAGACGGCCATGCTGATAGGGTACGCCGGCTCTTCTCCAACCCTTGCCGCCGCTGGGAGTGACGCGATGGCCAGAGCAAAGAGTAGCGGGCTAACAACGCTCCCTTGGGGAACACCTCGGATGATTTTCCGGGGGTTGCTCACCGCGTT